AAAAAAAAAAAATGAACTCCCGTTAACCCCCTCCCACACAGATCGACTACCGCGCCTTCCTCAACAAACTCTGGCCCTCCATGCCAGCCGCCGACTTCCTCGCCATGGCGTCGGACCCCCATGTGCTGGGAAACCCGCGTCTGTGCACGCAGCACCTTGTGGGTGGTGCCAGCCGGTGGGAGAAGACCAGTGACACCGAGATCACGGGGTACCACCAGATGCGGGTGGCTCACCAGCGGTATGCTGACGATGCGCACACGGAGGTGGCGGTTAAGGGTCATGCGCATGGGAAGGGGACGGTGTGGTATCGGAAGGTGGATGGTGAGGGGTGGAAGTTTGCGGGGATTCAGCCGGATATTCGGTGGGGGGAGTATGATCATGATAAGGTGTTTGAGCATGGGGAGGAGAAGTTTGGGGAGAAGGAAGGCGAAGGGAAAGCAGAAGAGGAAGGACAGACTGATGGAGAGTAAACGCGGGTGTATGGTACCTAGTTACTGCCTGGGTGCTACTGCCCAAACGCACCCCTTGATCAGTATTGAGTAACCCTACGTTGTTCCTGAAAGTAGTCCTGCCGAAAAAGCCGAAAAGAAGAGACGTTCCTCCGGAATTATCTGATCCTGATTCGTATTTGTAACAACAATGAAGACGACTTTAACCCTCGACACGGTGGAAACACAGTAGAATCGGTCTTGAGATATTGGCTAAGCGCCCAAGCTCCAAGTGTCAGAAAGAGCTCCGAGAAAGAATCTCCCCCCGCTTGACTTTCCACAAATCCTTCGCTTCCCACGTGTCGTATCCCTACCATAAGCGAACACGGGTCTACTCGCTAGGCGGAGATAAGCCCTTGAGGCACTGGTGTTTTGCTTGTGCTGAAAGGGGTAAGGTGGTCGGTCCTCTGTCAGCATCCGTCTCCGGGTTTCCTTTTCCCAGCTCCGACGACCTCGCGTGCTCATTTCCTTCCCCCACACTACGGAGGCCGTGTGTGCGTTTCCCCAAGCTCCGGATAACCCCCCCCTGAGGTAGGTATTGAGGTAGCCGCGGTATCTCGGGCACCGGCATCCACGGCAAAACAAAGAAAAAAAAAACACAAGGTGCGGTGTCCGGCGTATGCAGCGGCGTAATTTCGCTTCGGAATTTCCATGTTTCCAGACTCCCATACCAGATGCCTGGCCTGGCCTGACCTTTCCCCTCAAGCCCGAAGAAACTGGAAACGAAGTCATTCTTTTTTGTTCCCCTTATTTTATCCCCTATCCTTTTTCTTCCTCGTGGAAGTATCAAGTAGGGAGTGGGAGCCGAAGAAACGAGCATTCTTTAGACCTTTTTAACTTGCTCTTTGTCTTGTACTTTACCTTCCTCCCTGTATTACCTGTATTCCTCCCTTTCTTCCTTCCTACCACAGGATTCACACCAACGCTACGATTCAACTCGTCGTTTTCGTCCACCCTGAAGTACGCCAGTTACCTAGGTGGGAATTGTTCCCTAGGTCCAATCCACAATGACCATCAACGCCGGGATGGGTGCCAACGCCGGGACAAATGCCAACACGAACATAAGCATGACGGAAAAGGAAACGAAAACAACAATGAAAATCCTCTTCCTCAGCAACGAATTCCCGCACGACGACCTGGCCACACTCTGCCGGGCCCTCCGCCGACACAGCCAGGACCGGCGGTATCCCGTGCTGGCCCGCTTTCTCGAGGAAGCTACGCGGGCGGTGCGGCAGGAGGTGCGGCAACTATCGGCTTCGCTGCGAGCCCTGGTGCCGGCGTTCGAGTCCGTGTTGGACCTGGCTGGGGCCGAGTTTGCGGCGTTACGAAAGGGCCGGCTGTGTGGGAGTGTTGAGGGCGTGTTGCTTTGTGTGGTTGAGTTGGGGGCGGTTATTGGGTGCGTATACGTCGTGCTTACGTGCTTACTTGCTACTGCCTTCCCTGGTATTTTGTTTTGAGAGTAAAACATAATAGCTAACGTCGTCTCGTCAAAAAATAGCCACTATGAAAATACACCAGCCGCCTTCGCCCGCGACCTCGACCCATCGACAACATACCTTGCGGGCCTGGGCATCGGGCTCCTGGCCACATCCGCCCTCTCGTTAGCCCCAACCGTGGCCGACCTCGCCATCACAGGCGCCCAAGTGGTCCGCCTCGCCTTCCGCCTGGGCATCGAAGTCGACTCGGTCTCGCACAGTCTCCACGCCCGCGACCCGACCGACAGCAGCACACCAGACAGCTGGGCCTATGTTCTTCCAGACGTGACCGCGGCCGAGGTACAGAGAGAACTGGACGCGGTGCAGGTGCAGGGTACTACTACCAGCCAGGACTCCCAGGAGGAAACGACCACACCCACAGCAGTGACAGCCACAACCCCCCAGGTCAGCAAAATCTTCATCAGCGCGCTCAGCCCTTCGTCAGTGACCATCAGCGGCCCCCCCACGCGCCTCCAGGCGCTGCTGCGCACGTCGGCCTTCTTCCGCGACCGCAAATCGGTAGCGCTGCCGGTGTACGGCGGGCTGTGCCACGCCAGACACATCTACACGCACGACAACGTGCGGCGAGTCGTGCGCACTCCCTCGCTGGCGGTGCTGGAGAAGAAGGGCGAGCAGTTTGTGCCGCGGATTCCGATTTATGCGCCTAGTACTGGGACGCCCTTCGCAGCCTCGGTGGGGGCGTCGGCCTCGGGGGGCTCGGCGGGGGAGTTGTTGGAGATGATTGTGGGGGAGATTATGATGGAGAAGATTGAGTGGGATAGAGTGGTTCAGGGGCTGGTGCAGCGTGTACAGGACGCTCATTCGGACGCAGGTGGTTGTGAGGTGCGGGTGTGTCGGATGTCGCTCCCCGTGCGTGATTTGACGGCCGCTCTGACGGGTGAGCTGGAGGTGTCGACGGAGGAACTCGTGCCCTGGATTCACAAGGTTGAGGAGGAGGAGAAGGAGGAGGAGGAGGAGGAGGAAGGGTCCGAAGGGAACGGGATCGAGGAAGAGGAGGAGAACGGCCCACGCACCCCCCTCCAGTCCAAAATCGCCATCGTCGGCATGGCCTGCCGCATGCCCAGCGGCGCAACCGACCCGGGCAAGTTCTGGGATCTCCTCGCATCCGGCCTCGACGTGCACCGCACAATCCCCCCTGACCGCTTCGACGTGGCCACGCACCACGACCCGGCAGGCAAACGCGTCAACGCGAGCCACACCGCCTACGGCTGCTTCATCGACCAGCCGGGTTTATTTGATGCCGCCTTCTTCCACATGTCGCCGCGCGAGGCCCAGCAGACGGATCCCATGCAGCGGCTGGCGCTGGTGACGGCGTACGAGGCGCTAGAGCAGGCCGGCGTGGTGGCCGGGCGGACGGCGGCTACGGACAGGGGGCGGATTGGCACGTTTTATGGCCAGGCCAGCGATGACTATCGCGAGGTTAATACGGCGCAGGAGATCAGCACGTATTTTATCCCGGGCGGGTGTCGCGCGTTTGGGCCGGGACGGATTAATTACTTTTTCAAGTTTTCTGGGCCGAGTTATAGCGTCGATACGGCGTGCTCGTCGAGCTTGGCGACTATTCAGGTGAGTCGGTGTGTGGGTGGCTGTGGTGTTTCGTTTTCTTTTCTGTTGTACAACCCTATCCCTAACCCTACCTACCTTACCCAAGTTTTGACATAAATACCTGGGTACCAAATCACTAACATGTTTACTTTCCTCGGCCTTTTAGGCTGCCTGTACGGCGCTCTGGAACGGCGACGTCGACACGGTGCTGGCCGGGGGCATGAATGTGCTGACCAACTCGGACGCCTTCGCGGGGCTCAGCCATGGGCACTTCTTGTCCAAGACGCCCAACGCGTGTAAGACGTGGGACAGCGAGGCGGACGGCTACTGCCGCGCCGACGCCGTGGCCTCGGTGGTGCTGAAGCGGCTCGAGGATGCCCAGGCCGACAACGACAATATCCTGGGGGTGATCCTGTCGGCCGCCACCAACCACTCGGCCGACGCCGTGTCCATCACCCACCCGCACGCCGGCCACCAGGCGGACCTCAGCCGGCTGGTCCTGCGCCGAGCGGGGGTTGACCCCCTAGATGTGAACTATGTGGAACTACACGGCACGGGTACGCAGGCCGGAGACGCCGAGGAGATCCAGTCGGTGACCAACGTATTCGCGCCCGCGACGGGCCGGCGGCGAAACGCGGCGACCAACCCGCTGTACATTGGTGCGGTCAAGGCCAACGTCGGCCACAGCGAGGCGGCCGCGGGCGTGACGGCGCTGGTCAAAGTGTTGTTGATGTTGCAGAAGAACGCTATCCCGCGACATGTCGGAGTCAAGAACAGCTTGAACCCAACGTTCCCCAAGGATTTGGACGCGCGGGGGGTGCGGATTCCGTGGGAACACACTGAGTGGCTGCCGTTCAAGGCGAACGCAAACGCAAACGGGAAGATCAAGAAGCGGCTGGCCGTGGTCAACAACTTTAGCGCAGCGGGAGGGAACACAACACTTCTACTCGAGGAGGGCCCCAGGAGGAAGAGCAGGAGGGGCACGACGGCTACTCCTGACCCCCGCGAAGCCTATCCGGTCGTAGTGTCAGCCAAGAGCAAGGCGTCGCTCCAGGGCAATCTTGAGCGCTTGCTCTCGTACCTCGACTCGCACGCCGAATCGGACCTCATCACCCTCGCCGACCTCTCCTACACCACCACGGCCCGCCGCCAGCACCACAACCACCGCCTCGGTTTGGTAGCCACCGACCTCTCGTCCGTCCGCAGCCAGCTCGCGCGTACCCTCTCGGCTTTGTCGTCGTCGTCTGCGCAGACTGCCGGTAACAACCCTAACCCTAATACCCCCAAACCCACAACCACACCCGCCACCGGCCCCCCTCCCATCGCCTTTGCCTTCACCGGCCAAGGCGCCTCCCTCCGATCCACCTCTCTAGCCCTCTACCACCACGCCCCGCCCTTCCGCGCCCACATCACCCGCCTCAACACCCTCTGCCTCTCCCACGGCTTCCCTTCCGTCCTCCCCGTTCTCGACGGCTCCATCCCAGCAGACGACGACCCGCATCACCACCACCAGTCCCCCGTCGTGGCCCAACTAGCACAGGTCTGCGTGCAGATCGCCCTGGCCGAGTACTGCGTGGGGACCCTGGGCGTGAAGCCGGATGTTGTGGTTGGACATAGTCTCGGGGAGTATGCGGCGCTGTGTGCGGCTGGGGTGTTGTCGGCTAGTGATGCGTTGTGGTTGGTTGGGGTAAGGGCGAGGTTGTTGGAGGAGAGGGTGACGGAGGGGAGCCATGTGATGGTTGCTGTGAGAGGGGGGGTGGAGGTTGTTAGGGAGGTTGTCGAGGGTGCTGTTGCTGCTGTTGCTGCTGCTGCTGCTGCTGCTGCGGCTGCTGCTGCTGTTGATGTTGCAGGGGAGAGTAAAACAGAAGATGGGAGTGCAGACTGGGATTACGAAGTGGCATGCATCAATGGGCCAACCGCGACGGTGCTCAGCGGCCGCGCGGAAGCCATGGACCGGCTGCTTGTCCCGGCCCTCGAGGCCGCCAACCTCCGCTGTGTCCGCCTAGATGTGGCCTACGCTTTCCACTCGCCCCAGACCGACCCCATCCTCGACGACTTCGAGGCCGCGGCCCGCTCGGCCGGCATCGTCTTCCACGCCCCCTGCTTACCCGTAATCTCCCCGCTCCTGGGCCGCGTCATTTTCGACGGCAAGACCCTCGACGCGGCCTACCTGCGCCGGGCCACGCGCGAGCCCGTCGACTTTGTCGCCGCGCTGGAAGCCGCGCACAGGATCGGCACCATCGATGCCGACACGGCCTGGGTTGAGATTGGGCCGCATCCGGTGTGCATGGGCTTTGTGCAGGCCACGCTGGGGGCTGCTGCGACGAACGTCAACGTCAACGTCGCGGTGGGCCTGATGCGCCGGGGCGAAGATAACTGGACGACCCTATCGCAGGCGCTGGTCCAGCTGCACTTGGCCGGCGTGACCATCGCGTGGGATGAGTTTCACCGGCCGTTTGAGAAGAAACACGCGCTGAGGCTGCTGGACCTGCCGGCATACGCGTGGAACGACAAGACGTACTGGATTCAGTATAACGGTGACTGGGCGCTGACTAAGGGGAACACGTTTTATGATGCCGAAAAGGCGGAAAGGGCCGAAAAGGGCCGGATGACCATGGCCGTACAACAGCCGCGGTCGGAGATCAGCACGACGACGGTGCAGCAGATTGTTGAGCAAGAGTTTCACGGTTCTGCGGGGCGTGTGGTTGTCCAGTCGGATCTGTCGCGGCCGGATTTGCGCGCCGCGGCTTGGGGGCACAAGATGAATAACTGTGGTGTCGTCACATCGGTGAGTTTCATTCTTTTGACCCCCTTGACTTTTATTTCCTCTTCCCCCATGTTTTGCAGATTTCGCAAGTAACTATTTTGTTTTGTTATTGCCGTTTTGGGCAGAAAGTGGGTCAGCCGAAAAGGGGCCCCCTGAGTTTGGAGTCAACAACGAGGTCATAGACCACGCGACAAAGATTTCCTTTGTCCTACTTATACATATCAGATCACACAACACAAATCACAGAACACAAGACAGAAAAATAACTAACTCGCACGCTCAGTCGATCCACGCCGACATCGCCTACACCCTCGGGGCCTACCTCTACAAAAAGCTGCACCCCGCATCCACCCCAACCCCTTTGATCGACATCGCCGACCTCCACGTCACGCAAGGCCTCGTCGCCCGCGCCGACCCGTCCACCCCGCAACTCATCCGCATCACCATCGCCACCGCGGACATCCACGCCGACCACACCGCCTCTCTCCAATGGCAAACCCTGGCGGCCGACTCCCACTCCGACTCAGACGAAACGGCCGACGAACCCGTGCTCTTCGCCACCGCAACCCTGCACTACACCCCATCCCCCAAGCCCACCACCCCCAGCCCGTGGCTCTCCACCTGGCGCCCGCTCACCCACCTCGTCCAGTCGCGCATCGACACCCTCGAGCGTCTAGCCGCCGACGGCACAGCCAACCGCTTCTCGCGCGATATGGCCTACCGTCTGTTCGCCGATCGTCTGGTAAACTATGCCGAGGCCTATCGCGGCATGCAAAGCGTGGTGATGCATGGGTTGGAGGCGTTTGCTGATGTCACGCTCACCACGGACACGCTCACGACGACGGACAAGGGCGAAGGAGGTGGGGGCCACGGCGGGGGCCACTCTTACACGGTTCCGCCGTATTTCATCGACAGCGTCGCGCACCTGGCCGGGTTCGTCATGAATGTCACGCTGGATGCCGACGTCGATGTGCAGGCTAACTTTTGCGTCACGCCCGGGTGGCGGTCGATGAGGTTTGCGAAGCCCTTGGTGGCTGGCGGAAGGTATCGGTCGTATGTGCGCATGCTGCCCGCGGCGAAGGAAGAAGAAGGCGGGGAGGACGGGGTGTATCTCGGGGATGTGTATGTGTTGCAGGAGGGGGCGATTGTGGGTGTTGTGGGGGGGATCAAGTTTAGGCGGTATCCGAGGATCTTGCTCAGCCGGTTCTTTTCGGCGCCGGATGCGGGGGGGAAGCCGCAGCAGCAGCAGCAGCAGCCGAGGCCTGCTGCTGCGCCCGTTCAACAATCCCCTCCCGTTGCAGCGCTCCCCCTGGCCGACACACCCTCTTCCGCATCCTCCTCCTTAGGCTTCTCCCCTTCTACTCCACCCTCCGTGGCTTCCTCCGTCTCGTCGGCACCTATCTCGGCCCCCATCTCGGCCAAGCCTTCAACAACACCCGCAGGTCCCGCACTCGCACCCGCACCCCCGAGCGACGACAGCACCACTAGCAAGGCCATCCAGCTGATTGCGTCGGAAGCGGCCCTCGATGTGGCCGATCTGACCGAGGACGCCAGCTTTGCCGCGCTGGGCATCGACTCGCTGATGAGTCTGGTCATTGCCGAGAAGTTTCGGGAACAGCTGGGTGTGGTCGTGAGCGGGAGTCTGTTTTTGGAGTATCCGACCATTGGGGATTTGAGGAGTTGGTTGCTAGAGTATTACAACTAGATTCTTTTCTCTGTTTCTTTTTTCTTATTCTTTTGTTGTTTCCTTTTTCTTTGTCGTACTTTGTTCGATGGTCCATAGTTAGTAAGGGTTACGGTTAGGGTTAGGGTCAATAAGCTACTTACGTAGGTTGGATACGCTTACGGATATCGGTATACAGATTGAAGAATGAAGCCGTTATCCGTGTTCTGTGTTTCGAAATCACCGATGGATTATACACAAGTACGCAAATGCCTCGGCATTTCTGCCAACTCCGCAATTCCGCGTACGTCTGACTTTAAAAAGATGGTGGCACGGCAGAGCCAACCTTGCTGGACTCTCTCATCTTCCTCCTCTTCATCATTTGCCCTGCAACCAGACTTACAGACTCCACAAACCAAACATGTCCCCCCCAGACACTCTCTCGGACGCTCTCCCAGACGCTCTCCCGGACATCCCCCCCCGTCCGGCCGATAGCGACCCCGACAACCAGTTTCTCTGCCTCACCATCTGCGGCTACCGACGGCCGGGGATGAGCGAGCAAGACTACCGCCACCACATGACCAAGATCTCGGCGCCCATGACACGCGACCTGATGGTCAAGTACGGCGTCAAGCGATGGACCATGGTGAGCCCCTTACTCTTATCCATATTATACACAAACTCCACACTCCTAGACTTCCTCTAACTAGGTCACCAAACACAGATCCACAACCAAACACCCACGCGAGCACTCATGACACGCCTCTTCGACCACCAGATGGCCAACCTAGCCGACTTTGACTGTTTTAGCCTGGTCGTCTTCCGCAGCGTCGACGACTACAAGCGCATGAAGGAGGACCCTTGGTACCGCGAGCACCTGGTCGATGACCACACCCTGTTTGCCGATACCCGCCGCAGCATGATGACGATTGGTTGGGTGACCGAGTTTGTGCGCGATGGCCGGGTCGTGGACGGGATGGAGGGTAGCTGAGCCGGTAGCCGAGTGAACGGGAAAAGGGCGGCGGAGACGGCGAAGACGGAGAAAGACAGGGAAACACGGGGTCGGGGGGTCATTTCGGAGTGTGTGGGAAATTGTGCCGGGTCGGGTATATTGAGCAGACAAATGGCCACACCCAGACAATTCCAGATCATGAATGCCAGACAGACAGTCCAATCCCAGGCCAGATCATCACGAACCTCTCTCTCTCTCTCTCTCTCTCACACACACAACACCATGTCCACCCCCGCCCTAATCACCGGCGCCCTCCTCTCAGGCGCCATGGCCTCGCTCTCCCTCATCGCCGTGCCCGTGCTCCTCGACACCACTCCCACGCCAGCTCTCCTCCTACAGCAATGGGTGCGCATGTACCACTACGGCCACCGAGTGCTGCCCGCCATGGCTATCGGCACGTTTGGGCTGTACACCTACGCGGCTATCTCCGGGGCCCGGGGCCGGGACCGGGGCCGGTCGGAGAAAAGGGGTTGGGCCCTAGCCCTCGCGGCCGGCCTGACGACCGTCGCGATGCTGCCGTTTACGTGGTTGTGCATGGTGCCGACGAATGACGAGTTGTTTCGGCTAGCAGAGCAGAGCCGGAAGTTGAGCCAGAACGGCCCGGAGTCCGTGGATATCGTCAGCCTGGGCGAGGTGCAGGAGTTAGTCAGCTTTTGGAGTGGCCTGCATCTGGTGCGGTCGGGATTGCCGTTTGTCGGGGTTGTGTTGGGGGCTATTGCGAAGATTTGGGAGTAGGTAGACCGTAAAGGATGGTCTCGGCGTCGGAGATGGAGATGGAGACGGAAATCGGGGTTGGACTCTGCAGCGGGCAGCGGGACGGATAGGTAAGGGGGGAAGCGGGAAAGCGAAGAGGGTTTAGTTTGCATTGGGGGGATAACGTTAGTTATGCGTTACGCCCGACGCCCGGCGCCCGGGACCGAAAATCGACTCATTTGCTTCTTCAAAGTTCACCGAGATGAAATTCACAAGAGTTTGGTAACTTTAAATTTTGGTGTCTGCACGCTAATGCACCACGCTAATGCACCCCGGACTCCGAAGATCCTTGCGATTCCCATGTGCCCGTGTAAGTGACGAAATTACCGGATCGGGCAATCATCCTTGCAACCCTAACCCTCTGGTCCGGGAACAACCCCTGGATCCTTGATGCAGGCTGGATGGCCAGGACGACGCCGTTACGCCGATACCTCAGCAGAGCGAGGGCAAACGTGTCATGACGCGGCGAGGTCGGAAGACCAATTGGGCGAGCTTCCCGCTTTGCTACCTCTAGGCAGACTGACAGAGCCAGTTCACCCACTAACACAGTCGCAGGGTAAACATGAAACAGAGTTTCACGTATGTTCCTGACCATAGTACCTCGGTAGCGTAGTCCTCAACTTCTTTTTGGTTGAACCTCCTATCACACTTGGATGGCATTTTGTATATGCCCTCTATGCTGAAATTCCAAATCGTTCTACCCAACTACGTACCTACCATCTATCTACCTAGGTATCTATCTCGGTTGGACAACGCTCTCTTTCACCATGCCACTATTTTCATGGATTTCCGTGTGTGTTCTCACAGTCCTCATTATTTTCCCATCTGTCCGTCAGCTTCTTCGCTCTCTTTTCTTTCCAACATCAAAATCGCCGCAAGATGACGACGGCGTCCAAGACCAAGACAAGGCCGAGATCGATGGAGGAACGTGGGAGCGCCTCTCCGTTTTTGAGCACGTCGAGCAGGGCCTTTTACAGAACCCTGATGGGCCAGCGGTAGTCTGTCCGTTTCAGTCGGCCGACGCCTTGGACAATATCCTGGTGTCGTCGACGACAGACAAAGGGGAAAAGAGGGAACGAGAAGCGGAAGGCGACAAGCCCCTCACCATTACCTACACACAACTCCACCTCACCGCCCTGCGCCTCGCATGCGCTCTCTTCGCCCGCGGCGTGCAGGCCGGCGGCAGTACGCGACTGGTCATGCTGATCCCCAACGGCGGCGAGTATGCCGTGCTGCTGTGGGCCTGCCTATTGCTGCGCGTGACCTATGTCAGCCTCGACCCGGCCCTGCTCGACGTCGACGTCTCAAACCTCACCACGCTCAAGCAGCTGCTGCGGCCGCTGCGACCGCAGATCGTGGTCGTGCCGGATCCGGAGCGCGGGAGGGTGGTGGATGTGGCTATGGCAGAACTGAGGCTGCCGCAGCCGGTGCGGGTGTGTTTGTGTTGTCAGTTGTCTCGAGAGCATGGGCAAGACCGGCCATTTCCGTTTCCTCCTCCGCAACCGCCGGGCGGAGCAGGGAAGAACGGGACCTGGCACTCCCTCGCATCGCTGGTCAACAACCAGTCCGGCACCTCCGTCTCGGACGAAGACGAACAAACAACAACAACCGCGCTCGTCCGGGCCGCGCGCCAAGACCACCCCGACCGCATACACTCCATCATGTTCACGTCTGGCACGTCCGGCTCGCTTCCCAAGGGCTGTCCGATGCGCGCCGGCGGCATGGCCCACGTGTTGCACTCCCAGCGCTGGCTCCTTGGCCGTGCCGACACCGAGGATGACGAAGACAATGATAACAAAAACCACAAAACCAAAAGCCGCCCCCCCATAGCGCTCATGCAGCCGCACAACTCGCGCGGCATCGCCCCAGCCCAAACCTTGCAGACGTGGAAAGCGGGCGGCGCCGTCGTGCTCACAGGCCAAACGTTTTCCGTCGCGGGTGTTGTGGATGCGGTGCGTCGGGCGCGGGTCAGCTTTGTGGTGCTCACACCCGCCATGGTGCACGAGATGGCCTCCTCCTACTTAGGCCTCCCGGGGACGGTCACGGCAGTAGGTCTAGATCTGGGATCGGTACGGCGAGTACAGCTCGGCGGCGACGCCATTACACGCGGCGTGCTGCGTCGGTGTACCGTGCTGTTTCCCCGCGCGCAGGTGGTGGTTAACCACGGCATGACGGAAGGGGGTGGGGCGTTTGTCTGGCCGTTTCTGACCTCCTCCTCCTCCTCCTCTCATTCCACCTCCTCCGCAACTGCATCTTCCGTACCTCTAGACGGTGCCCAAGACGGTGATGGTGTCCAGGACGGGATCCGCTACTTTGGCGAGATGTGTCCCGTCGGCACGGTCGCGCCGGGCTCGAGAGTGAAAATCTGGGATGCCCAACGGCGGCGGGTGGTGCGTCGCGGGGAACTCGGGGAGTTGCATATCTCGAGCCCGAGTCTGATTCGGGGGTATCTCGGCGGGCGCGAGTGGGAGGCCTTTTATCGCGATGATGGCCGAGATGGCCGATGGTGGTTCAAGACGGGTGATGTGGCCATGGCGGATCGGGACGGGCTGGTGTTTATCCTGGGGAGGAAGAAGGACGTGATGGAACGAGGCGGGGTGTTGGTAGTGCCGGCCGCGATAGAGAGCTCGATCGAGGCGTTTACGGGAGCGCAGGTAAGAATTTCGAAATTTAAAACCTTTAGAGACGATGGAGACAGTAGTACAGTACTGACAAAGTAGAGCAGACCGTCGTCGTCGCGACGCCGCATCCCGTGCTCGGATCTGAGCCTTTTGCCGTGCTACACTCGCTCCAACGGAAAACGGAGGCCAGCATCAGGGCACATGTAAAAAAAACGCTTGGTGAAAACTACGCTCTCGGGGGGTTGGTCACGCTGGAGCAGCTTGAGCTCGTCGAGTTTCCCCTGAATGCGACCCACAAGGTCGTCAAGAGTGAGGTGCAAGCTGCTGTGCTGCGGTACTTGGAGAGAGGTCACACTGAAAAAAACGGATACGAGAAACTCTAGCCCATGCCTAACTCAGGTAGTATGCAAAACAAGAGTTGATGGGTAATGGGGTTGATTTGATAGGCATGTGAAGACTCAAGACCTCGATGCCGGTAAACAAATTTTCTCGTTAATCCTCTCATTAGGTAATTTACGAATAATGCACAGCGAAATGATAATTATCAGCAATCCAGAGCTGAAAGCTTCCAACTTTTGAACTGGAACATATCTCCCTCGTATTCGAAATCCTGCTCACTCGGCACTCGCTCAACGACCGAGTCTCTCATCTTATCTGTCCTTGTTTTTACCATAAAATAATAATAATCAAAATACAACCAAAACGACAGAGAGTAAGGACGAGCTGGCCTTCCATCACAGTAACACAGTAACGGCCAGCAGGAATTCGCTTCCCGAGGCCGCCTTGACAGCCATACTCACCGAAGCACCGAGCCTCGGGGTAACCTGGCCGTATGCACCTTGTATGCCCGTACCAAGAAGCTCGGGCCGGAAAGCATCAACAGTCGTATTTGGGTACACCGGTACTTTCTTTGCCATAAATCTATTTTTTCTTTTCGTTTCTTTTCGTTTCTTCTTTTATGACCGTAAGAGTCTGATTCAAACGCTGAAGTCAATCTTGAAATATACCAGAGCACAGAAGTCCTTAATCCTCCCATAGTTAAGAATCAGCTCGCTCACAGACGACAGCTACACACCTCGCTTCATTCTTCCTTAGCTACATACGCCTTACACTACTACCTACTCTTACTATCACCACCATGTCAGCAGCACCCATCCAACTCTCCTCCTCCCACCTCGGCCTCGTTAACGCCCACAACCAAAATGTTCCCCCCGGCACCCTGGAAGAGTGCAACCGGCTCCTACAGCAAAACCACGAGACCTTCCACATGTTCTTCCGCGACACCGCCGGACACAACCACATCGTGCACAGCCTCCTGACCGTCCTCGCCCTCGGTGGCACGCCCCAGGACCTGCGCGACCGCTACGACGACGGCGTACCCATCCAGCGGCCCCTCCCGGCTATCAACACCGCCCTGCTCTCCACGCTGTTCACCACCGACACCAACACCGACACTGACACTGTTCTACTCGAATCCCTCGGCTCTGTAGCGCACTACCCGACCTTCCTGGCCTTCTTCCAGCACCAGATCGCCTCCTCTAACAATAACTGGAAGGCCGTCGTGCAGCGGTATCTCTTCGCGCGCACCCCGCTGGCCGACGCCCTGCTGGCACGCATGTTCGAGGGCGCCTACCACCCGCTGATCCATCTCGGTCTGGGCATCGAGTTTGCACAGCCTGCGCTGATCGCCGAGGCGCTTGCGCAGGCGGCTGCGCATGATGATAGCCACATCGGGACGCTGTTTCGGCATGCTGAGGCCGAGGCTGGGATTGCGTACCCGAGCAACAGGGGAAAAGGAAAGGCGATGATGGAGTTGTTGAGAGAGGTTAGGGAAACAGAGGCGATCCGGACGGCGCCGCGGTGGACTGACTTTGGAAACAAGATGCGCGACGGGATTGTCGGGCGCGCGGGCGAGGCTATGGCCAGCGTGGCCGCACAGTTCCAGATCCGGATCCAAGACGATGGCGATGCCGAACTAGCCCGACGCACAGCCGAGATGCTCAACGTGTGCGCCTTCATGGCGGGTGCGGCCCAGCGCGCCGGACGCCCGCCCAAGATCGACTTCTTCTACATGCACGCCGTCACCAGCAGCCTGTTCGTCGACGTGATTGCGCAGCAAACCGACTGGATCTCCCTGGCCGACCGCGCCCGCGTCGTCGAGTGGAAGGCTCGGCTGGATCTGGCGTGGTACGCTGTCTGCGGGAGCGCGGCGCTGGACGGGGAGTTTATCGAGGGCTATTCCCACCCGGAGAGCGATGGGCTGGGCTGGGACGAGCTGTTTGCCGCCGTGGTGCAGGAGCATGATGATGGCCATGCGGCCAAGTTTCTGAGGGCGCTCAAGAATGGGGAGGACAGGTGCAAGCGGTATGCCGAGTTGGAACAGTGGGCTGGGGATTTTCCCATGAAGGGGGACATGTGGCTGCGTCTCGCCAGGATGTGCCATGATACGACTAAGGGCCGGCCGACGGATCTCAAATGGATTCCGTTTACCGGGTTTGAGCAGCCGTGGGCTCGTCCTGATCTGGCGAAATAGGGGGGGTGTATGTGAACGGCTTAGCAGTCTACATATGTTAGTTTCGTATTAAAGTCAGCTTTATGTGGGTCCAATTCAGATCCCAAGGGGAGTACAATCCAAGGGGAAATCGCAGTAGAGAGCATCAGCAATCAAGGTTACGAAATGTTTCACCATCACAAAGGAGGGATGCAGTCAAGACAAGAAAGATGATCATCTCAAATATTGAATATTGCGAATGGAAGCAGCTCCAGGTAATCAGTCAAGAACAAATAGGCTTCTCTCTCTCAGACTTGGACCCCTTATACTCAGGAGTCTCTCACCCCTACGCGGGCCCAGTCGATGGAAGATACGGATGCAGCACCGGAAAGAAATGCCTCAACAGCCCCATCAGAATACACATGGGCGTGCCCCTGGGAAACCTGGCGCCAACTCCCCTCTTCGCATTCACCACGCCCACATTCCGGCCCTCATACCGGCCCCCCTCATCCCGCGCGGCCTCAATCATGCCCCCCGCCAGGTCCAAATAACTGATAAACGACTCCTCCTCGTCCAGTGTCAGCCGGTGCCCGCGCGCCACGTCCGGCGACAGGCCCGCCGGCTTGATGAACACGGTCGCCACCCAGTCGGCCTGCGCCCGCAGCAGGCCCTCAGCCAACTCTAGGTCGCGGTACACGTGCGACGCTGCCGCCAGCATGATCGGCCGGAACCACGTAGGCATGTGGCGCGCCAGGTGGTCGTCGATGGTCGCCGAGCTGAGGAGCACCAGCCGCGGGAGAGCTCGCACGACCATGCCCTTGCCCGCACCCACCGTCTCGGATTCATCCCGGAGGCGCTCTAGCGCCTGGATCACCGTCGCCGCGCTGTCCTGGCTGACCCGGCACCCGGGGATGTTGTCGTTGGTCGTGGCCGTTAGAAAGACGGCCCGGGTGCCGCGGATGCAGGAAACCATCAGGCCCACGTCGACGATGCTGCCGGCGAACACGCGGACGCGTTTGTTGTCCACTGTTTCGGGGAGCAGCCGGCGTAGCTTGGCTTCATTGCGGCAGTAGGCGTGAATGTGGGCGTCCTCGGAGCTATCTTGGAGGAGATTCTGGATCAGAGCAGTACCGCAGTTGCCTGTGCTGCCGAGGACGGCGTAGGTGGGTGTCACCGCTGTCATGGTGAGGGAGAGGGAGAGAAAGAGAGCTTGTGTTAGGTATACGTGACGTCGATGCCTTAGGGAATGAAAAACAACGAAACCGCCCAAGACCGTCAAAGGTGTGTTTGTATTTCGTGTCCGCGAGCCTGGGGCTTCCGGGCCGCTGTCACGCTCCGAGCTTCCTCGCTTATATACCTACCTAATTTATTTTGCCCATAATTAGGTACTGACTTTACTCGAGCAAGCCTGGCCCAGCAACACACGAGGTGACGGGGGGACTTGAGCACGCGAGAGCCGTTAACCCTAACCCCCGGCCCCCCTGAGTTTCCCCGATTTTGTGCCACTATGTAATAGTACATAGTATGGGACTGTGGGTGAACGTCAAAGACGAGAGTGCCTGCCGGGACTTCCAGGGATGCATCGGGCGACACCTAGCCAGACCGCGAGAAACGCAGATTCAAAAGAATGCCGAAACGGGCCCCAGGGCCCCAATCGGGAGGACGGAGGACGGGAGAATGACGCCGATGCAAAGTGCGCAGCGGACCCCGAAAATAGGTAACTACCTGAGTGACCTTGCCCCCACTTCCGAGCACATGCGACATGCAAGTTGCAGGCTTGCAGCCCCCCTCCCAACGGACCCAACCTGAACTTCAGTCGTTTGCGTAATGCATCATGGCGTCGGTAACACACACACCTTTTCATGACCCGTCACATTGAATCGAAAAGGGGCGCCAAAGTCCGCTATCTCCGTTAACGCCAGCAGCCAAACTAACACCTTGATTGATTGATTGATTGCCATTCCTGGAACTGCTAGGTCAGTCAAACCGTGCATATTCGAACGGATTGTTTGTTGGTATGTTGTTTTTTGGGTTTTTCCCTTTGCCCTTTTTTTGGTTTTTCTTCCCCCCCTTCCATTTCTCCTTGAACTTGGAACGTTTTTGCCCCCACCAACGCGACCACCAATCTCTAGAACCTCGCATTCTCTGAACTATCACCATGGGCTTCCTCTGGAGCCAACTTTTTGTCACCCTGCCCTATCCCAAGGGCAGCTACGCCGGCAAGACCATCATCGTCACCGGCAGCAATGTAGGCCTTGGCAAAGAAGCCGCCCGCCACTACGCCCGTCTCGGCGCGAGCAAAATCATTCTCGCCGTTCGCAGCGTCGAAAAGGGGCGCGCCGCAAAGCAGGACATCGAAACTACCACCAAGTCCGACACTAGTATCGAGGTTTGGCCACTTGATATGGCCAGCTACGTGAGTGTTAAGTCATTTGCCGCGCGTGTAGCGTCCGACCTCGACCGTGTCGATATCGTCAACGCCAACGCCGGCGTGGCCCGCCAGAGCTACAACCGTGCCGAGCAGGACGAAGAAGACATCACCGTCAACGTCGTATCCACCTTCCTGCTCCTAGCCCTTATACTGCCAAAGCTCAAGGCGACTGCTACCCAGTACGGGATCCGTCCTACCTTCGCCATTACCTCGTCTGAGGTACATGGACATACCAAGTTCCCGCAGCAGTACGCAGCCGACGGCCAGATCTTCGCCACCGTTAGCGACCAAACCGCCGCGGAAAAGAACTGGGACGACCAATACCCGATCTCGAAGTTGCTCGAAGTGTACGCTGTACGCGCCCTCGCCGAGCGTGCTCCCGCCGATAGCTTCCCTGTCACCGTCAATTGCCTCAACCCAGGCCTATGCGAGTCCGAGCTGGGCCGCGAGATCCCCGGCTTTGCCTTCAAGGTGCTCAAGTTTCTGCTAGCGCGTACGACCGAAGCCGGCAGCCGGACATTGGTCGACGCCGGTGGTGTTCAGGGCGCCGAGTCTCATGGAACATATTTGTCTGATTGCCACGTCGCGGAGCCCGCTGGTGTGGTGACTAGTGAGGCCGGCAAGACGGCGCAGGATAGGGTTTGGGCTGAGTTGGTGAGGAAACTAGAGGGGATCGAGCCGGGATGCACGAAGAATTTTACTTAGGCGGATGGATAGGGTAACTTAGCACCTTCCTCGTCGTAATGGCACGGGAAGAGGGAAGGTGGGGGCAAACGGCGGGATACTCGTGGAAGGCACGAGACAGTCGTCTCTTTTTTTCCTTTCCCCTTTTCAATTGATAAAATCATCACGTGGGTCCGGGCTTTTTTTGTTTCCTGTTTTCTGCCGTGGGAATCTTTCAATTTCAATTTCTATCCAGCAGATAGTAAGAAAAGTTCAATTCAATTCAATAATGGCTTGCAAGTCAATCAATTTACAAAGTTTAATCTCAACCAAGGCAAGGCCGTTTCCCCTCACAGTGGGAATTGATTAGGCATATAATTAAGTATTATGAACCACATTTACTCTCTCCAGGACGTCGCCAGAGACAAATACTAACATCAATTTAAGCGCCGTTGGAAATCAAAATCACCTCAAGGCTCAAGTCGGCTAGGCAGCACATCTACACACAGATACCGTAATTAATTACTACGGAAATATCTAAGGTATGTAGGGTTGTTAACAAATGAATGCTTACTTCTTCCTCCCCTCGATAATGACAAAGTCGCTCCCCGCGGTCCTCCACGTCTTGACCAACTTCAGTCCAGCCGACTCCAACAAATCATTCCACTGCTTCCCCGTCCGTTCCGTGCCCCCGATGCCCATCATGTTGATGTCCTGCAGGGCCAGCTTTGCGGACGCGCCCAGCACGGGAACCTCGTACTCGGCGATCAACACCCTGCTCTCCGGACCCATCGACACGACCGTGTTGGACAGGATCGCCTTGCAGACCGGATCCGACCAGTCGTGCAAGACCCGGCGGAACAGATAGGCGCGCGCGCCGCGCACCGGGTTCGGCTTGAAGAACGATGCCACCTGCGGTTCGATCTCGGCCGGGTTCAGACCGCCCGCGAGCGCATCATCGATCACGGATTGTTGGTCCTGCAGCACCAGACGGCCCTGGAGCCCGGGGAACCGCCGCCGGATCCGCTCCAGCGCGTGTCCGCGTCCTCCTCCCACGTCAACCAACACGACCTCCTCTGCCCCGGTCACCGGCTTGCCGTTCAGCTCGGTGTCGTACGGATACGAGCTGTCAAAGTCTTTGACCGTGGCCTGCGAGCGCTGGCCGGCGTTGAAAGCCTGGAGCTTGGCCGGGTCCGCTTCGAGATACTCCCAGAAGCCAAGGTTGGTGTGGGCGCCGAGGTGGAAGGCCGAGTGGTCGTAATCCTCTGGGTTGCGCCACTGCGTCTTAGCCAGGAAAGCGGGAAGTGCGTACGCCCCGGCGCCGACCATGTCGTAGATCTCCTTGAACATGCCGAGCGTCTCCGGGACGAGAAACGCGCGCGAGAGCGCATTGTGCGAATACGTCTCCTCGCCGACCTCGACGAAGAAGTTGCAGGCCACGAGGGCGCGCATCAGGCGCACGGTGACGACGGGGTCCGCATCGACGGCCGAGGCGATGGCCCCCGCGCTGATGGCGGCACCCTCCGCGGCCGGAACTACGGCGAAGATGTTGAGCGAACAGGCGCAGCGGATCACCGAGGTGAGCGTCAATCGGGTGACGGTGTGGAAGACATTCTCATCCACGTAGCGGGCCGCCGATGAGAGCTTCTCGGCTGCGGCGACGAATTGGGCGCGCTTCGTCTCGTCCGAAAAGCCGTCTTGGACCGTAAAGGCCTCGGCTAGTCGGTTGAGTTGGGCAAGCAGTGCGACAACGCCCTTGGCGTCAGTGAGGGTGGCCATGTCAGCAGTAGGTGGGAAACCCTCCGGCTTGGCAATGCAAGAGGTTAATAATGGCAATATGCAATGCAAGAAAGCTAGCGAGTCAAAAATGTGGGATGGGAACAGAGGTGCTGCTGCTGGTGGGGAAGCAAAAGGAAGAGATCGATCCTCAGGTGCGCTGGGTAATATTATAAACTTGATGCATCATCATCTTGCATTCGTCCCCCCTTTTCCGCTCCGGGCAACATCGCAAAAAGATGCAGGCCCGCGTTCTCCCCCGCGAGACGCAAAGCCTGTGGACACACGGGATGCCTAGAAAAAAACAGAAGAAAAGAACACTAAACTAAACCAAAGGAAAAAAAAAGCCCCCCGTACAGGTCTCTTCCCAGAAGGGTTGTTACGGACTCCGAACAGGCGGGGTAGGGGGGGTGGTCGTATGTACCGTCTTTTCCCCAAGAGACGTTGGGTATAACCTCTCACGTGCTATGGTGCTCATGATAATAGCCTGTCTCGGAGCGCAATCAAGATTTAGTCCAAAAGCTTGTTTACCTAGTTTCATTTTCACCTTGTCTAACAACTTCTACAATCAAATTCCCGGACACTATGCAACTCTCCGACCAGCTTCAAACTAGCATCAAAGACCTGGGCGCCGCCATTGAGGTCATCGCCGAAAACGCTCGGCACGGAGATTCAGCTGCTGGTCTCTCGGACGATGCCGAGACTTGGCGCTCGACTTCTCCGACGGGGCCTACGGGCAACCACGCGGCCTCGCCGGAGGACGTTCGTCGGGCCAGGCGGAGCGCCGTCTGTCTCGCTCACCGACTGCTTACCCTTCTCACCGAGCCGGCTGAGTTTATCCAGGATCTTGCCAGGCAGGTAGGTCTGTGTGGGTGGGTGTGGGTGGGTGTGTGTGTGTGTTTGCCCCTCCGGTGCTGGAAGTTCGATCAGGGGGTTTGGCAAAAGGGGGTTTTGCGCACCTCAAACAGCACAATACAGTATGGACATTGACATGCCAATCTTCTCTGTGACAGAACCAACTTCTTGCCTGTCTTCACTGGCTCGGCGAATTCCAGGTACTGGCCTGCATCCCACTCACGGGGTGCGTGCCGATGAAGGACGTGGCCGATCTGGCCGGGGTGCCCGCGACGCAGTTGTTTCGGACTATCCGCTTCACCGCGACGGCGGGCTTCTTGTGTGAGCCTGAGCCGGGCCACGTTGCCCACACGCCGCTGTCCGCTCCCTTCGTGGCCGAGCTGTCGTACCTAGACGCTGCTATGTTTCTTGCCGAGACGGCCGCCCCGGCCGCACTCCGCATGGCCGCGGCCACTCGGAGGTTCGGGGATACTGCGTCTCAGCCGGCCGAGACGGCGTACGGACTGGCGTTTGATGCCGGCCCCCGTGGCTTCCAGGGCGCGCTTGAGCAGAGGACCAAGCTCCAGCGTCAGTGGCCGGCGTTTGCTGGTCATCTGGTTGCGATGGAGGATAGCATTTCCGAGCTGCTCGGTAAGCTGGATTGGACGAGCCTTGGCAGTTCGTGCATTGTCGATGTGAGTTGTGCCCGGCTTCTTTTAGGCTTTAGGTGGGGGACCATTGGAGGTAGTTGGGTACCTACTGTGCCTACTTACCCCTAACCTCCATGAACGGGGGGGCAAAAGGCCGACTGACAATGGCTGACTAAATCTCATCCTACCTTACCCAGATATCTGGCGACAACGCTGGTGTGGCCATGGCCACCGCCCTGGCCGAGAACTACCCCTCACTGCGCTTCGTCGTGCAAGTCAACAACACCAATAACAATAGCAACGATCACACCCTCTCTTCATCCACATCCACACCTCCCAGTCCCCACATCACAATCCACCCCCGAGTTCCTGGCACGCTCCAACCCATCACCACGGGCGCGGTCTACATCCTCCGTCTGGCGCCGGCCCTGCTGCACTGGCGTGTGCGCGTGAAACGCGAACTCGCCGCGCACTGGGCCGTCCTCCGTGGCAATCCTGCCGCGACCTTGCTGCTGATCGCGCCGTTGCTGCTGCTGCCCGAGTCCGAGCCCGAGCGGGCTGAGGCTGACGAACGATTGGGGAGTGCCGGGCCCGGGTTCGGAGGCGGGGCAACGGCCGGAGGCCGAGGGACGACCGAGGCCGGTGGTGGTGGGTGTGTTGAAGGCGCGGCGCGTGTGCGAGACCTGGTCTTGTTGCAGTTGGTGGGGGGGGATGAGGAAGGGGTAGTGGGGATGCGGGAGCTGGTGCAATTGGTGAGGAGTGTTAATGGGAATGGTGTGAATGGTGTGAGCGGTGTGAACGGTGGCGGTGGCGTTGACGGAGGGTGCTTGGCGGTGGTCAAGAAGTTGCGGTTGAAAGACAGTGCGACGGTGGCGCTGGGAATCCGATACCAGCCCGATCAAGCGGGCCATGATTGATCAGATCCGGTGTCTCGGGCCGCCAGGCGGGCAAGGTTTCCCCGTTCGCTCCCGTTCTTGCTGTGTAGGTAAGCAATTAGCAAGGGAAGGTACGGATCGAGAAGGGCCGCAAGGGGCCGCAAGGAGGGCCGACTGGTGCGGAGATGTCGCTTAACGAGACAATACCATTTGATGGCTTGATTTCTGCCATGCGAGCCATGGTCGGAATTCGGAAACAGGTGCGTCCCTAAACCAGGAATTGTAAAGTCTTGTTGCGTAGTATCCCGTCGGAAGAATGTTCCAAGAATAAGCTTATCTAATAAGCTTGTCTTATCCACTCGTGTTCTCCGTGCATACTCGCATAGGTACGCGTGGTGTAGTTTGGTTTAGCTTTCACTTGGCAGTCTTGGGTCGCAATTGCCTTTATTGGTGACAATCCGCTGCAGACTGCAGTTTCTGCGCAGCAAACCTTCTCCACGCAGACCACGCATGCCATTGCTCCCTTGGCAGTGTCGTACGCCTGAGAGCTGTCGCGACCAAACCGAGCCGTGTTTCAAGCACTTTTCGCATACGATGCGACGCCCCGCCATGCAGAGCGCCCAAAGTTCCATGGTGCGTCCCATGGTTTGATAATCCAGGCCGCACATGGGAACGAAAGGTTGTGTGTAACATGAGAAATCGGCGCATTTCCTCTAGTCTAGTTGCCTGATGCAGTGATGAGAATGGATCTTGTGCATTTCTTTTCAACCCAAGTTTTGCTTGGATTTACCCATTATCTTCGTTCCTTTTTTTTGTTTAAAAAAAAAGAAAAATTGAACGGGAAAAATGACATGATTTTCCTGCGCTAGACACTCACAGCAATACCTAAGGTAGTCCTCGGTTGCCTCGCGAGGTGGAACATTGGGCACTGCTGACCCGAGTGTCAAAGTGTCGAGGCCTTGGCATCGGAACTGCTGGGTGCTGCGGCCATTCTGGTTACGATACCCGGACAGTGAAGGTTTCCCTTCCCTCAACCTTCCCCACATTCTTTTCTCTTCGTTTTCGCTTTGCCACCGGTGAACCGATAACATAGGTATGGTGGTAAACGAATGGATCAAATCAATGCAGCCACTTATCCTAGCGCAGACACTGCTGTTACAGTGTTACTCTGCTACTGCACGAGAACTGCACGACAAGTGTCAGCATGGCCTCTAGATCCCTCCGAATGTTGCCCTCCCTTTCTTTACTTCCCCTGTCCGATCGCCTGATGCCAATCGCAGACCCCCCTCCACGAGATCTCGTCCCTTTTTCCCGGCGGAATTGCGCCCAGAGTGGCGCCCATAGTGAATCGATCGGCCGGGGTTGTCGTAGAACCAGAACAACCCCACATCTCTTCTTCCACCGTGGCAGACCCCTGAGAGGCTGGGGGATGCTGTCAATGTACCTAGGTAAGTTTGGAGCAAGAGGAACGACCACGTGTTGAATCCGAAATACTCGGTAAAGGCGTCTTTCAGCGCCTTGCCAGTGTACATACCTACCGAGGTACGGATCGTACATACTACATCGTAAGACGGCCAACTTGCTCCCCCCACCAAATTCTTGGCTTCCGGAGATAACAGAATAACAGTCCTGGTGGTCCTTGATCCTTGCGCTGCGTGGCGTCGTGGGTGGAAGTGGTGCTGCGAGATGGATCATGGTCGATATGACATGTGTGGGCCATTCATCAAGGAGCGCGCGTCGTTCGACTAGGTCTCGTCTGTGGGACCAGGGACGTACGTTTTTATTAATGATCTTGGAGTACCTTTGTACTTTTTGGCCTAGTGTTTGTTTACCTAGTTTCTTGACTTCTCTCGCAACCCCTTTTCCAACCATCAACATCAACCATCAATCTCCTGAATAACGACCTATGATACCAACATACCTTGGTTGCCCGCCTTGTCTTTGATTCCGCCGTCATGCCAAAGAGCTCCTCTGACCCAGCCCCAGCTCCGGCTCCGGTTCCCAAGCTTCGAGATAGCTGCCACGCCTGCGCGGCTTCCAAAGTGAAGTGCCACAAGGAGAAGCCAGCCTGTTCGCGCTGCGTGAAGCGGAGCATCGTCTGCGAGTATGTTGCCACGAGGCGTGGTGGGCGCAAGCACGGCAACCGCAAGAGCCAGAGCCAGAGTAGGGAGAGTCCAACCGGTAGCATCACCGTTTATACCGGGACACACATTCCAACGGTATTATCACCCATGTCCACCGTGGAATGGTTCAGCGGGACCGGAACCGGGAGTGAAAATCCCAACAATCCTAACGCCTTCTCCGGGTATCATCTCCCCCCGTCAGACATGGCCCATCGTTTGAACTCTCTGCCCGGATCGGTAACTAGCGGGACGCCGTCGCACCAACTGTTACCCGGGTTGTTGTCACCGGACGGGCTGTTGTCACCGGACGGGCTGTTGTCACCGGACGGGCTGTTATCACCAGACGGGCAGTTCACATCCACGACGCTGATAGACCTGGCCACCGACCTGGACGCCTTCTTTGCGCTCCCGGAAGGGCCGTATGCAATGCCGGGGCTCCAATGCGATGTTGCTGCAGACTCGGACGTGGTGATCGAGGACGTAGGCCAGTCTCCTTTTTTCCCTGCCATCTTCCATCAGAGCAACAACGGCAACAACAACAGCCACAACAACCGCAGCGGCAGCAACAACGGCAGCGGAGGCGGCAGCGGTAACGGTAGCATGCAGGAGTATAACCCGACGGTCGACGCTCCTGCTATCCCCGCAGTAGCCATGGCGGATGCCTTTTCCGCTTTTGAGGATACCGCACTCAGCAGTGGCGGAACCACGACCACAGCCACGGCCACGGCTATACCCGCTTCTTTCACCACCGCCGCCTCCATTATGAACCAGGATATGGCCCCCTTTCCGGATCTGGTCGAACTCGGGTGGTCTTCCCCCTGCTGTCTCGGCCTCGCCCTCACGCTCATGAATAAGCTTTGCCCAGGCTCTGTGGGATCTTCTTCTTCCCCTATCGCAGGAATGACCACAACAGCAGACGCGTCCCAGTCTACGACCCCTTCTTCTTCTCGCTCCTCCTCTCGCTCCTCTTCTCGGTCTTCCTCTCGGTCTTCCTCTCCATCACCGTCATCTTCTGCCCAAGGGGATAGACACAGACACAGCCAGAGCCAGAGCAAGAGCAAGAGCAAAACCAACTCCAAAACCAAAACCAACTCCAAAGACCGGAGGAACAAGCACAAGACCAATCGCAGCAAGGGCAGAGACAAGCAGCCACAGCCTACTCTCCGACAAGTCATCCGCTGCAACGAGGCCGCCATCGCCTCTGTCAGCGGCATGCTCGACTGCCCCTCCGGCTGCGCACATGACCGCTACCTGCTGGTGCTGATGGCGCTGATCGTGCTCAAGGTGCTGGGCTGGTACGCCGTGGCTGCGCAGGGAGCTGGGGCCCGAGTCGGGTCTGAAGAAGCGGCGGGGAACGTCGGCTCCCATCACAGACGAAAGAAGGAGAAGAAGAAGAAGAAAACGGCGTCATTTTTGTCTTCAGCTTTCTTGTCGTCATCATCGTCTCGCTTTCATAATAAAACGTCTCAGGCTGCGATTGCTGTTAGGGCCAACGACGGGGCGGTAGAAGAAGATGGCGACAACAACAATAGCGACGGAACAGCAGCGCGCCACGCCGCGCAGTCGGTGCTGAGCGAGCTGCACCGCGTGCAGAGGTTGGTGAATAGGCTGTGTGTGCGGCTGCAGGGCACAGAGACAACGGCGACAGCGACGACGATGAGGTTGTCCCGAGGAAACAGCAATGTCGATCACGACGGGATGATGTTAGATGCTGAACAGGCGCGGCAAGGAGAAAGATTTGCGACGACGGGCAATCATGATGGATTGCTAGGCGCCGGCGGTGCGCCGTTCTCGGCCATGGTTTCGGATCAGCTGGGGTCGGATTTGAGGAAACAGCTGAGGGCGTTGTCGTTGGGGATTGTCGAGCGGCTGAGGAGAGAGTGAGGGGTAAGAGTGTGGACCGTTGGGCTGGCTTCCTTGTTCTTTTCTGTGTTAATGATGAGTGATGACTTCCTGTGAGGTAGGATTTACAAGCGTGGAGCTGTACATATTTCATTTAAACAAACCACGCAGTGGGTGGCTTTGTCTAATTGGTATGGATACCTTAGCTTCATGGTGAGTCAAGGGAACAGAGGGTGTGGCGTTTATACATGTACTTCCCTGTGGAAAGCGGGTCGTCTCAGTCTTAAGACAATCCTTGACACGAAGGGCCGTTGAATAGATGAATTCCGAATTAGCATGATTCATACAACACTAACTACAACATTACTTGGCTTGAACGTAACCACCGAAAACACATAAAAAGACAAGGTAGCTTTCGGCTGCGTGTGAGCGCATAGCAGCATGACCCGGCGATCCTCCCCCAAGACTGGTGACCTCTCTACCCGGCGTAGCCGACGTTCATCCCGTGGCTCCCGAAAAGCAGAAAGCACTGCGGTGCAAGACGCCTTACAGCCTATGGATGCAAGCTGTCCTTTCTAATAACGTCGATCATGGCTATCCTTCGCATCATCTTCCCCTTTCTGTCTGAGTAACACAAGGTGGGCAAACTGAGTTTCTAACAGCTTCTCCATGTCGTGGCCTGTCCTGCCTAGTATATCCTTTGGAGGCGGTCGGGCACAGCGGAACAATGTTCAGATACTACACTTCCATGGGCGGCATTTCGCTCAGCTGCCCAAAGAGAAGGAACAGCGTTTCGGGAGACAAAGTCAAAGAAGGGCGGCGAGGTACCGCCTGAGCCGGCACGGAGCCTAGCTAATCGCACTACAAGCCGGGGACTTTGACAATTGCTGTCCACATCTTCGCAGTGGTAACCACTTTGGCTGTGGGATGCAATGCCGCATCATGCAGTTTGCGTAATTATCATTGGCAAAGAGGATGTAGTTAATTATTTGATAAAACACACACAGATTAGTCAGATATGGGGAACTACTCTGGAAAATGTTCTCTGGGAAAAAAAGAAAATAGAAAAAGGAGGTTCTGGAGAATAACACCGATTCGAAGATTTGCCTTCATTGCACTCTTTGGGGTGTTAGAGCAAGAAAGCTTCCCAAGAGCAACCCCGGCTCTGGCGACGTTGTAAGGACTTCCGGGGATGGTTAATGGAGAGGTGGAAAAGCCGCCTCGAGCGGATGGGCATCCCAAACACAACACATTGGATATTTGGTCGGTATCAAGGAGTTAACGGGAAGGATTCCGCAAAGTCCGTGAGGGTCTTGTGTGTCCCGGCATCGGAAGCCGCAGCTTCAACCGGGCAATGCAGGAAACAGACTGCGGGCTCCGCATAGGAAAAGGGGGCCAACAGAGCGAGAATCCCGAGCCGCGACGACGCAGCGGCTCGGAACCGCGGGGTACATGTACAAGGGGTACAAAAGAGTCATGCAAAAGGAAACAAACATCCCACCCTTCACAGCACTCCATTAAAGCTATTACCTATGACATAGGTACTAAGTATTTTACCCGCTCACACACCACACACCCTCCACCACCACAAATCGGCCAAACTCCCACACACCACCACCACCCCACGCACAGTACCACCCACCATGGCCCCCCGAGAGTCCCAACCGCTCCCACCCTCCCTACCATACCGCCTCGATGGCAAGGTAGCGCTTGTGACCGGCTCGGGCCGCGGAATTGGTGCCGCCATGGCCGTCGAGCTTGGCCGAGCGGGCGCCAAGGTGGTTGTCAACTATGCCAACTCGCGGGAGTCGGCCGAGAAGGTCGTGGCCGAGATCAAGGCCCTCGGCAGCGACGCCATGGCCCTGCAGGCCGATGTCCGGCAGGTGTCACAGATTGTGAAGCTGATGGACGATGCCGTGGCTCACTTTGGTGGGCTGGATATTGTGTGCAGCAACTCGGGCGTCGTTAGTTTCGGGCATCTGAAGGATGTGACCGAGGTATGTCCTCCGAGTCCCTTGTTTACCTCCGACCTTTCCCCTTTTCATAGCTTTATCCTGAACCCTAACCCTAATCTAATTACCACTAACACGAGAAACAAAAAAAAGGACGAATTCGACCGTGTCTTTAGCCTCAACACGCGCGCGCAATTCTTTGTCGCGCGCGAGGCATACCGCCATCTGCGCGAGCACGGCCGCATCATTCTGATGTCGTCCAACACGGCGCGCGACTTCAGCGTGCCTCGGCACTCGCTGTATTCTGGGTCCAAGGGGGCGATCGACTCGTTCGTGCGCGTGCTGTCAAAGGACTGCGGCGACAAGAAGATCACGGTCAACGCGGTGGCGCCGGGGGGCACGGTCACGGATATGTTTCATGATGTGTCGCAGCATTATATCCCGGGTGGAGAGAAGTATACGGCCGAAGAGAGGCAGCAGGTGAGCTTGTCCCTTTCGTGACTCTGAGTCGGGATTGGTAAAACGATACTAATATGCCTTGGGCTTTTTTCGTTTAGATGGCAGCGCATGCCTCGCCGCTGGTGCGCAATGGATATCCCGTCGACATCGCGCGGGTGGTTGTGTTCCTCGCCAGCAACGAGGCCGAGTGGGTCAATGGCAAGATCATTACGGTGGACGGGGGGGCAGCGTAAAATGCTACTAACCCAACAAGAAGGAGCAGCACTGCAGTAGCTGATGGGGCATTCACTACAGGTTAGAGGCTGTCGACGGGATAGTGGGAAAGGAGTTGAACGGGTTTGGTACCAACAGCTCCAAGCTGCATGATACAACAAAAAAACACCGTTGAACAGGACCTTTGCTCTAAGAATACGGGAATATGGCCCTCTTGTGCGCATGGTTCCGGCTAACCTCGCTCGCGCAACCTTTGCCAGAGCAGCCGGTAAAAGCAAGCATAACTGAATGCGAGTCATCTGCATTCCAGGTTGCACCATGCGACGCGGGGCAGTCCTTGTAGCTTCGCGACGGGAAATAACTAAGTCAGTCACTCGTAACTTATTTCCTCCTGCCTTGATCCTATGTGCGGTGCCCCGGATCGTTGGTCATCGACATCGTTGGTTGGATTATTGGATCATGCATTTAAGATTTTTATCATTTTATTTCGCCTGGAGGCACGAAGTCGAAAGGGCCTTGGCACGCTAACTCCAGTAATCACATACGATTGGTCGGTTGTCACAGTTTTAGGCATGTGGGTTCATGATCCGTGCCCGGGTTAGGGTTATTTGGCTTATCTAAGCGCCTATCACTTCAAATCATGCGATCCCGCGCATGCTTGTCCTTTCTCTCTTTACTTGTAGAACAACAGCTGAAGCATCACAAAATTCTGCATCACGCATTATTGAACTAAGCCTATCTAGGAAGGGTGAGTGAGTTGCTGCGTCCTCAGTCCGTCTCATGCATCGAAACAGAAATTTGATCGTCGATCCTCTCCGATTGGTTGACTCAGCGATTAGCTGGCAGGGCTTTTCCACCTCCTGCGGGGTCGTGACAATCAGGAATAGGTTAACCTGGGTTTATCCGACGGTCTATCAAAAGCTTTGTCTTCTCCTCTTGTTCGATTCGCAGGGAGACCAAGTCCGAAGATGTGAGGCTGCCCTTGAGCAAGTGTCGGAGACGGACGAACTCGGGCTGGGCAAAGGCAACCGAAAAAAGTGGAAATGAGAAAGCGACGAATGAAACGGCCTTGTTTTCCGAAAAAGGTACCCATGACCCCAGGTACTTGACCGAAGCCCGACGCCCGACGCACGACGACTAGCGGCCACCGAGCCTTGTTTCCTAATTATTGGTCGGAGAGCAATTGATTCATCGCAACAAGCATGCACGTAAAGCAGCCAACGGAACTCGGCGACGACGATCAGAGCTACTCCACTTGATGGTACTCTTACAATACTGGATGATGCTACTCCGACGAGCAGGGTGGTGTCGGTGACTCGGTGTGCCGGCTGGGTCATGATTACGGAGTATCGTCGCCGCGAGTTCGAATTGGGCCAGGGGTGAGAAGGCGTTGAGAAAAAAATTGTGGATCAATCCAGTGAATTTGCAGTGGCCAAACTAATCTAGAGCTCATTGAGCAAGATCTCGTAACGCAACTCCTTCGATTTCCAGCACACGTGGTTGGGATTTCCCAATCGTGAGCTGATGAACGTTTGGAACTTGATTCGCCGTTCTTTTAGATCGAAGAGCCTGGCATTCCTCGAAACATTCCAGATGCTTTACCCTGCCCAAGTGTGCTGGGCAAACCTTATGAGTTGGGAAGCATTACTAATTAATACGTGACAAGAAGTAGAAGAGTAATAATTACAGAAAGCGACTAGCCATGATCACACACACACAAACTGGACTGGTCATTACAATCATGTATGGAGTTTTGGAAACATGTTTTGTATTTTGTAACAAGTTCTTCATACGCCCCACCCGGCAACCTGAGCTTGAGGTGAACCGCTATCAACAGTTCAGGGCTCTGCCGTCAGCATCACGACCAGTCCCCATCTAGTAAATCCTCCACCTTCTTCCCAGCCTCCATATCGCGCCACACCTCGTCAATGGTCCACGGCACAAACTTGTGCCCGGGCGGGAAATTAGTGTTGGCAAACTCAGCCCCAGCCACGAGGTGTGCAAACGCCTGGCCATATTTTTCATACGCATACGCCTCCGGATCGTGTTTAAAGATCCAGCTGGGAAACCTCGTCCGGATCCGCGCCGGATCGGCCCGCACCGCATCCCAGTCCGTAGCCGTCTTGAGCTGGGAGTTGACAAACGACATCTTTTGCGCACAGCTCACCCTCTCGTACCGCAGCAGATTGTACACCTGCGCCGCCAAGCCCACCCGCTGCGCGCTGCCCGCTAGCTGCAGACATGTCGCGAGCGTGACGGCGTCCTCGAGCGCCTGGGTCGCGCCGTTTCCGGACGTCGGGATGAAACTGTGCGCGCTGTCACCCACCTGCACGACGCGGCTCCCCCTTCCTCCGAGTCCTCCCGGCGACGACGATGACGATGATGTCCAGGTGCGTCGCAAGTCGCGCCAGAGCAGCGGCCAGTGAACGACGGCACCGCGCGGGGCTGTGCGCACCAGCGCGGCCACGGCCGGGTCCCAGTCCGGCGCGCCGCGGAGGAGTGCCTGGGCGACGGCTTCCGGGTCGGCGTCGGGCTCCCAGGACTCGGTAGGCTCGGGCGTTTCGGATGCGGAGTCTGCCGCCGTCTTATCCCGCGGCGTAAACCCCCACGACACGGTGTCGTCCGACAGGAAGATGCCCATGTACATGCCCGGGCCGAGCCAGTATTCCCAGCGCGGCCGCGCATCGCCCCAGCGCGCGCGCACCGTGGGGTCTTGCATAGCAAGCTCGCGTGGGTAGGCGGTGCGGTAGATGGACATGCCGCTGGACCGCGGGGGAGTAGTAGTAGTAGTCTGTCCTTCTCCGGCAGCAACAAGCATCTCGGACCGCGACTTGAGTCCGTCCGCGGCAATCACCACGTCGGCGATACACACCTCGCCCGATTCCAGCACCACGCCTCCGCGGCCTCTGTGATCCCCTTTCCCCCCCTTTTCCTTCCATAGGCCGTTATCATCATCATTGTCCTCATCAAAGTAGTCGCGCACCGTGCAGCCGTAGTCAACCCGCAGCCCAATCCGAGCGACCTGGCGCAGCAGCATGCGGAAGAACAAACGGCGGATCTGGGCGGGGGCGACCGCAGGGTAGCCCCTTTTTGCCCGCTCGGCGAGGTGTTCGGGGTCGTTGAACGAGGGGACCGTCGGGCCGTAGATGTGCTCGCCCGTATGGCGCTCATAGCTGACGTCTGCGTGCACCTGCTCGGTCTCGAGCTCGCGGGCCATGTCGGGCCAGTGGCGGAAGACGGCTAGGGCTGAGGGCTGCATGACGATGATATCTCCGGAGTATACCGGGCCTTGGCTGCGCTCCAGGATGCGCGTCACGGTGTGCCCCTTGCGCCAGCACTCGAGCGCCGACATCAGGCCGCCCATGCCGGCGCCAACGATGAGCACAGTGATGCCTGTTTCGGGGTGGCGGTGGGGGAGTTGCGGTGGTGAGGTTGTTGAGGATGCTGCTGCTGCTGTCCATCGCTCGGGGTCAAATTCGTGCTTGTCGCCTGCGACATTGACAAGGATCTTGTGTTGACTCATGATGGATGGTCACGATGATGTGTGGAGGTTGAGGATAGTGGGAGCCTGGGTATCGAGCGAGCTGTGTGCATCTTGACGAGTATCGAGACGAGCGCATCGTTGTTCACATCAGGCTATTTCAAGACATGGTGAAGTTGGGGACCGGGACACGGGGTTGAGGAAACTTGGTGCTTGAAGTTGTCAGCCTCTGAGGAGACTTAGTTTCAGTGGGGATCCGCCGAAGAGGTCTCGTATCGGGATTACGTGTTCTTGTTCGGGGTACGGAAGCCAATTAGGCAGCCCCTGAAATGAGTTCGGACCGAACGACCCTCGCCCCTGATGAACGACCCCCACGAATTAACTACCTACTAGACCGAACGTTAGCCAAGAGGGGAGTTTTTTTTTTTGTTTTATAAACGAAGCTCGAAGCAGAAGTAGAAGCTGAAGAGCTCCGGTCTTGCGGTTTGATACTGTACTTTTTCTGCGAATTAAACTGTAAGACGAAAGATTTTGCTCGTGTCAGGAGCCCTTAGTCCCTTCAACATGGACGGAGAAGAAGAAGCCCCGAAAAAATACAAGGGCGGCTACCGTCAAATCAACAAGTCCCTCAACATCTGCGCGTTTGAGGACTACCTCGAAGCCCAGGTGTCCCGCCTGCCGGATCTGCCCGACGTCGAGCAAATTAGTCCCCGCGTGCTTCGTATCCTGGGACAGAATCCGGGCAAGTTCACCCTCCAAGGCACCAACACCTACCTCATCGGCACTGGTCGCAGCCGCCTGCTCATCGACACAGGCCAGGGCCTCCCCGAATGGACCGCCTTACTCTCGCACACCCTCACAACCCTCAACATCACCCTCTCCCATGTCCTCCTGACCCACTGGCACGGCGATCACACCGGCGGTGTGCCGGACCTGCTCCGCCTCTACCCTCATCTCGCTAGCACTAGCCCCGGCGGCGGCGGCGGCATCTACAAGCACACCCCCAACCGCGACCAACACCCGATCGCGCACGGCCAAGTCTTCGCCGTCGAGGGCGCCACGGTGCGCGCTCTGCATTCGCCCGGCCACGCGCCGGACCACATGTGTTTTGTGGTCGAGGAGGACGGGGCCATGTGTACGGGGGATAACGTGCTGGGCCACGGCACGGCGGCGGTCGAGCACCTGGGCGAGTGGATGCGCTCGCTGCGGGCGATGCAGGCCGATGCGGGTTCGGCTGTGGGCTACCCGGCGCATGGGGCCGTGATTCCGGATTTGAGGGGTAAGATCGAAGGGGAGTTGGCGGCGAAGCGGAAGAGGGAGGAGAGGGTGGTGAAGACGCTTAGGGGGGTGAGGGATAACCATGGTATTAATAGTCATCAGGCCGGGGCTAAGGGAAGGGGGAGTGTCACGGTCAGGCAGCTTGTAGCGGCGGTGTATGGAGCGGGGATGGATGATCAGGTCAGGACGATGGCGGTTGAGCCGTTTATTGAGGAGGTGTTGAGGAAATTGGCAGAGGATGGCAAGGTGGCGTTTGAGGTCAAGGGCGGAGAGAAAAAGTGGTTCTTGATTCAAGAGTAGTACAATCTGACAAAACCTACCAGAGGGGGAAAACAATGATAATGACTTCTCTCTTGTCGCAGCGTTCCCGTCACAAAATCTGACAAAACTTAGTATAACTAGGGGAAAAAAAGGTTGGTTACCCAGTAAGCAAACCAAGTAGACAAACCTCCTTCATTAGGTATTAACGTTAGGTATCTATCTATCTTCAAATCACGATATTTGCAACCGAGAAAAGCAATACCCCCTTTTGCGCTCACAACACCAGGCCGCGGATTAGAAGTTCAGCCACTGTGACCAAAGTCCGAGAGGCTGAGAGCCAAGTCGGCAATGACAATCGGCCCCCGAGGGCAACACCGTCGCTATTTGACCATAAATAGTGACGGTTTCTCTCTCGTGACTTGTCACTTATCATGAACATGCAAGAACTTGCTGCATTATCCTAGCTCACTTCGCCCATTATCAACTTATCAAACGCATCACCATGTCGTTCGGGACCATCTACACGCACAAGGCAAGCCCACCTCCTTAGAGCCCTGGACCGCTATGTTTGGAATCACCACAACGGACTAACACGCGACCGTACGCTCTAGCCCAACCCGCGGACAACCGCTATCCTGGCCATCGCAAAACTGTACGGCCTCGAGCTGGACATCATCTACGCCAATAAGCATACCGATCCGGAAAACTACTCCAAGCTTCTCCGGGTCAGCCCCCTCGGCCAGGTGCCCGTGTTTGTCGGTGCCGACGGTTTCGTGTTGACGGAGTGCATTCCCATTACGCTGTACGTTGCCTCGCAAAGCGACACCACCACCCTCCTCGGAACCACCCGCCGTGACGGTTTCCTCATTCAAAAATGGATGTCCCTGATCAACTCCAACACGCTTCCCGCCGTCGGCGGCATCCTCATGCCCCTGATGGGCATCCAGCTGGCGGTGCGCAAGAACACGCAGGATTGTCTGCGCGCGTTCTATGCCGACTGCAAACTGCTTGATGCGCACTTGACCGAAAGGAAATATCTCGTGGGCGAGGGGTTGACGGTGGCCGATCTGTTTGCCGTGAGCATGCTGCAGTTCGCTGTCTCGGTGTTTCACCGCGTGCTCAAGGCCGAGTATCCGCAGCTGTGGGAGTGGTTTGGCCGTGTGTATGAGACACCAGTCTTGAAGGAAGCGGCGGGGGAGTTGAAGCTGTTGGATCTGCCGATGCCCGAGCTGGAGTAAGGGGGCCCTTTCCTCCGGCCACCCGAGCTCCGATCGGCCCGTGTCATCGGAGTCCGACCGGCCGGGCAGCGGAGCTCCGGATGTTTTTAGAAGCAGAAATAGCCTGTGTATCAATCAATACTCTGTTTATTATTTGATTGTTTGTCCCATTGTATCAGCAAGATCAAGTTCCCAAATATCCAGGCCAAAAGTTCTCCCTATCTCTAACCAAGCCGTCCCTCTAGCACACACAACTCCTCATCATGGTCACCACAACCAGACACCTCCCCAACATGGGCAGCCAAGCTAACCTGAGTGCGATGGGCGCCGAGGTAGCCGTTCTAGCAACCACTGTCGCCGCTGCACTCGAGAAAGGCGGCCATCCTCAACCATCCTTTGCCGCAGATAGCCCTGCCACTTTTCCACCAGATGCCGACATCCAACAGCCGCGCCTGCGCCTGATCGAGGTTCTCACCGACCTACTCTACCTAGCCACGGGGGCTGGCGACTACCTGTTTCTTCATGGCGGTTTCTTTGTGCGTTTCCCCCTAATTACCCCTCTCAGCTTCTATCTCAGCTTCTCAAGAGGGTAAAGAAAAAGAGCCACAAAGCGAAAGGAGTGAAAAAAAAAAAGAAATAAAAAAGTAAAATAAAAAAAGAAAGAAAGAAAAACAGATTGGACGTGTCCGGCTAACCCCTCTCCACCCCCAGCTCAACCACGACGCCACCGTTCTCGACCTACTCAACCAATTCAACATCTTCACCCACGTCCCCCTCTCCAGCAGCGCCAGCTACACCGACATCGCGCGCGCCACCAACCTCCCCGAGGCCGCCGTCCGCCGCATCCTCCGCTACGCCTTCACCATGCGCTTCTTCGCGCCAGATCCCACCGACCAGAGCAACAACCGGGTCGTGCACACGGCCTTCTCCGCCCACGCCGCCCGCTCGCCCGCCCTGCGCGCCTGGTTTGGCATTGCCCTTGACGAGACCCGCCCGGCTACCGTGCATACCGCCGAGGCCCTGCGTCGGTTTAGTGCCGGGCGGGCGCAGCCGAGCGAGGAGCTGGATGAGACGCCCTTTTCGCTGTGGTGGCCGCCGCGGGAGGCGGAGTCTGAGTCTGAGTCTGGGTCTGGGTCTGGGTCTGGTGACGGTCTGTGGGCGGAGAAGAAGAAGAAGCGGATGAGCTACTGGGAGGCGCGGGACGACCCCAAGGAGGCGTGGCGGGCGAAACGCTTTGCCGAGGCTATGCAGGCCTCGGTGGGCAGCGCCATCATCCAGGCGGACGATGTGGTGAATCGGTTTGATTGGGGCGCGCTGGGGAAGGCCAAGGTGGTTGATGTCAGTGCCCTTATTATCTTTTTCTTCTCTTTTTTCCCTTGCTCAGGCATCTCCCTATTTCCCTTCCCGTACCGAAGTCCTAATTATCCCCGACTAACAACGACACGAATGTGTCTGAACAATAGGTCGGCGGATCCGACGGCGCCCTCGCAGCCGTGCTCGCCCGTAAACACCCCCTCCTGCATTTCGTCGTGCAAGATCTCCCACACATCAAAACCGATTTCCAAACCAACCTCCCCGCCGACCTAGCCGCCACCGGCCGCATCCAATTCGAGGGCCACGACTTCTTCCAACCCCAGCCCCAGACCGCTGGCACCGACGTCTTCATCCTCAAGCACGTCCTGCACAACTGGCCGGACAAGCACGCCGCGCAGATCCTGCGCAACCTGGTCGCAGGACTCAATACTAATACTACCGGCAGTAGCGATAGCGATAATAAGAAGCAGCAAAATGGTAAGGGCGGGAGTTGGAGTCGGAGTCGGATCCTGATCTGCGACAGCGTGGTGCCAAGCGAGCAAGAAGCGCATACGCTGCCGCTGAGCGTGCGCAAGGGCATCGCGGGCGCCGATATGCAGATGCTCGTAATGCTCAACGCGTCAGAGAGGACTGTCGATGACTGGAGCAGGCTGGCGCAGCGGGCCGATCCGCGGTTGAGATTGGAGAAAGTGCATCAGGTGCCCGGGGCCATGTCGAGTTTGTTGGAGTTGGTGTTAGATGAGGGAGTGGAGTGAAAAGGGATGGGAGAAAGTCAAGATGAACTCGCGTAAGGTACCTAGCCTAGTGCCTCAAACAGTCCTCGATCAGAATCCGAAACGGCGACCCGTACAGTGTGCATCACATGAACGTCCATGTTGGTAAGAAGCCCTCATAAAGGGTCACTGATCAATAGCTAGGTTGTGTGACAATCTCATTGCTCATCAGCCACACTCACCAAATCTTCAGAAACTTGACTTGATGGCACTTTGAACATGCCTCGGAAAATGCATCCGCTATTAGCGGAAAAAGTAGTACACCAGCTTATCTTAGTCGTCGTCCACCAATTCAGGCTCCGGAGGCCCATCGATAGGGACGAGCTCATGACGTGGTTTTTTCCAGCAATTTCCTAATTACATCACCATGTCAGATATCAAGGTTTGAAGAGAAGGTGGGGTGGGTCTGGGAAACGACGTACTTTGATTCCTCAAAGCGGCCTCGATCAAATTCGTCGACAGCGAGACGATAATAGCCCATGCAGGCCTGCACCGAATGTTCTCAGCAAGTGACTTGGAGCACCGAGAAGGAGATAAAGGCCGGGGTCGACGCGTTTCTGCAGCGGGAGGGCCTAGTCGCGCGAGCGCCTGCCTAGGAGGCAACTAGGATTTGCCTTGCGAGTTATAAGAACGACAGGCGACATCCCCTTTTGCCGCTCCAATTCCAGCCTGAGCTTTGCGTCGACGCAAGCCGTTGGTTGCCATTTGTCTGATAGCCCTGGGTCCTGGGATGCTGCACTCCGTCCTGGAGCTGGCCGTTTGGCCGCCTGCCCGTATGTGTTGCTAACCTATAGGGATGTAGAGGGGCTTGGGCTGCGCTCCCCTTTTAGATAGCTTTACCCTTATATATAGGGACCCATGTATGGGTTATATCGCTTTGCACCTATATCTCGAAGCAGTGGAAATAAGTGTCACGATTTGGCCAATGAAGCGGCCGGGTGGGTCGCCGCTGGGGGCGCAAGACGCCCTGACGTCCAATCATTCTACAGCCAATAAGGAGAGGATCAGCTTGGCGTCGTCATCCAGTGGTATCAGAACCCTGACTGGCTCGCAATCAGCCGCTGACTGACTGTAACCCTA